GTATCAGTTTCCGCGCCAATAAGCCACAACGGTTTAGGTTGGATTCTCCAAAGGATTTCATGTTTGGGAGATTATCTGGCCGTCAAAACGCCGTGGAACTAATGCAGTAATCGGAGTAGGTACTAAAGATGCTCCGTTACACAGATGTGGTTACGTGTCGCTCGTTGGTTCTGACAACGAATCGTACGGCTGGGATTTAAGTATGGCGAAAATTCCAGATTTCTAACCAAAGTCTATTTTAATTTCTTGATTGAAAAGGAGTAATATCAAGTCTTTTTAAACCCCTTTTAGTTTAGTGCTTGAAGTAATACTTTGGAATCTGTAACTACTATTAGTGAGTGCCAGATAATGATACCTTTTTCATCACTCAATGATGTCACACAATGATGGGAACCTTTTTGTACCATGTTGCAGTTCAAAAGAAATGTTTTCACGGGAAGGAGAACCGCTGTGGTTGGCATTATCCTCCAGGATCAGCCAGGGGAAGAGGTGAAGCGATGCCTGACCGTATACTGTGCATTTTAGATATGGATAACGGCTATTTGGCTTTCGCCAGCAGTACTAAAAATTACTATGGAGTAGCATTCACGGGCCTCAAAGGGAAAACTCTCTACCCCATGGTTTCTGCTGTTTGGGGGCATTGTGAGATAAAAATGATCTATCTGGGCAGTCTACCTCGTAGGAATTTTGTATTCACCGATTAGACAGTGTAAATTTATGGATTTCCATCATTAAAGTGCTTCATAGGCTTCTCGTTTAATTGATTTAATTGCATTTACAGATAAGCTACTGCGATTTGGCCAGTTTGTCCAAAAAACTCTCTGATAATGTTGTTGGTTTTAGCCGAACCACGTTCATTGAAAGATATTTGTCGGGGAGTGATCAGAACACTTGTTGGTAAACGAGGTTTCTTTCATCTGGACCAACTGGGTTTACCAGAAGAGCTTCTTAACTATTTATTACATTTGTAGTAGTTACTTCCATTAGTACATTTTTTCAAAGGGACAGTGTTATTCCAACCATCTGTGATGAACATCAGAAGCAGCAGCTATGCTCTACAGATATATCTATATATAGGAGTTAATTTTAAAGCATTCAGCACTATTATATTCAAGCTTTCTGAAACACTTCTCTGGAGGGTTCTTGAAAAAAATGTATTTTTTCTCTTTAACATTTTCTTCCTGCAGTCATTTTAGTTCGGGGAGAATGTCTGACTCTATTACCCACCATTAATCGCTAGTCTACTTGTCATACTGTTCCGCAATGTTTTAATCGTACCGTCTAACTTATTTGTTTGTCTAGTTATTTTTTTTCTCTTTTCCATTTTTGAATATATGGCATTAAATTAGTGTGCTTTTGCAAGCAGCGCGCACTTCTTGATCACGTCTGATACGTCTGATTGTTGTTCTTGTTTCATTAACAAAAAACGGGAAATTAAAGCTGTTCTACTGACCTCATTTTTTCGCTGCCTTATACTATTTCTGCCTTTTTTTTTATTTTTTACTTTTTTTTTTGTCTGTGTGTCTCGCCGCGTGGCAGTTTTCTGCCTTGTGGTATCTGTCTCTGGAAACTTGATAAGTTTTGTATCCTGTAGCGATTATGCCGTTGCAAAAAATAAATTGTTCCTTTCTTTATTAAATTTCCTACTTGGTACAAAAATTTACCATTGCGAAGCTATGCGCACATATTACCTTTTTGTAAAACTTAGTTTTTCTCGACGCAGAGCCAGCAAACTAGTAACTTTTTACTTTGGAAAAAAGTGAGAATCTTGTGATATGGGTCTTCTCCTTCTTTGTTCTTTTTTTTTTTCGTCGGTGTTGCATATAAGTCTCAAATTCTTAAAGTTGAGTCAGTGCATATACAAATAACGAAGGTGGACAAACAGTAAAAATGAAGTATGTTCTGAATTGGGTACGCATAATGGAAGTAGCGTCTGCAAAAACAAGTCTGTTTTCTTGAAGAAACGGTATTGATTTGGGTATAAGAAGCAGGACTTTGAAAAACGGTTGTAGAAATTTCAGCTTGTAAGAATTACCTTTTGGTTCCAAAGCTGGGGATTGCATGCCACTAAGTTTCAGGGAACAGGTGATTCTAGGCTGTATGGTACCAGATCTTTTAGACGTCGAGGAAATTTAGAGCGGATTCACGAGAAAAATGCTTCTTATAGAATCCAAGTTGATTTTCCACCAGTCAAGAAACCGGTGGTCACCAAAATAGCAACCCAAGTGGACACTATTGTTGGTAATAGGAAAAAAACAGTACAGCTTACCTTGGTATTTCAGGAAATAAGGAATTCTGGCATACCGGGTGCTCATTATCTGATCAACACGGAAGCATTTTTGGTCCAGCAGTTCAAGCTTTCAAAAGCTTATACTTGATTATCCTTTGTTATGCGTTTTCTAAAAGAAATTTTCTTTTTTAACAGTCATTGTCGCATAGCCGCATCAGACCCCTACACTCGGCCTAAGTTTCTTTTATTCTGGTGATCGTGTAGCATCTGGAAGGGCTTGTATACAGAAAAATTTTTGGCATAGATAAGCAAGTTTTTATTATGTTTATAAAATGTTGTGGTTCTGTAAAAGCTCCAATGAGTTAAGGGTATTTGTTCCAGAGCTGGCATCTAGTTATTAAGGTGTTACAGAAATTAGCTTTTCAACTGTGACAGTCCAGTTAAGAAGAATCAAACTTTTCTTGAGTATCCAGTTTTTAGGGGAGTTAGTATTTTGTGTAGAAGACCGCTGTAGCTCCTGAAAATCTTTTGTACGTTGCTATACCAGTTTTAAATTTTTGTTGGGCAACAAACTTCTAAAAAGACGAGCAAAATCTTTTGTACGTTGCTATAACAGTTTTAAATTTTTGTTGGGCAACAAACTTCTAAAAGGTTTAAAAACCAAATGGGCTTAGTTGCCAATTTGGTGAAACGAAAATGTGAGTTTAGCATAGTGCATAAAGCTCTGGTTGAAACAGCCTGGCTTAAGGGTTGCCAAGAACTGTTAATTACACGTGAAGGGCCCTAAGGGGCTAGTGTGGTCAAGTACCGTAGTACTTAGCAGTCGTAACAGTTGCCCTTTGACTGCATGTTTACTGACAGAAATTTTGTGACAGCGGTTGCTCAAAACTTGTTAGTCAGTTGTGTAAGTGCTCTTAAACATTTTGACAACTTATGCTGTTGCTTTTTTAGATGCTTCAAGAAAAAGACGAGCACTTGAGGCCGTCGTTGAAAGTAATCATGAAAACTTCTGCGGCGGAAAAGAAGCCTGAAGCAAATAAGGTAAAGTTGCTTGGAAGTGAAACTCTGTGTTAGCTTCGAAATTATGCTGATATTACTTCGCGATGTAGGATGAATTGGCAGATTAGAGTCGATAAAACACGAAGTCTAGTACTGGAATTTTTTTGCAGCACGTAACTTTCGCTTTTCCAACGAGTCCCGTGGGTAAAAGAATCAGTTCTTCGGGACAAAACCGCAAAAGTCCGCAGCGAAAGGTAAATGAATTACCGAGTCACTTGTTTTACAATATTTCTGTAATCAAACTTTGACACTTTTGACTGCTGAAAAGTGTCGTAGCTTAGAAATATTGTTTATAGCAACAGAAAGGATGTACAGAGTCGTCAGTTACAAGTCCGAGGAAAAGACAAACTTACAGACAGCTTGAACATGGTTCAAAGAAGAACAAACATAATGAATATTTTATTAGACTAGTTGACGTGAGTTCCTCTCTTTCTTTGAACAAGTCCAGGTCTTAAAATCTTGATTTTTCATACATCTCTTATTTTTTTGAGTACGTTTTTCGCTTTTTGACTGTTATCTATTGTGCTGTATTTCTTTCCTTCATGGTTTGTCGGAGTGGTTGCAATGCATGAAAGAGGGGATGACAGGTCTGGTATACCTTTGATTAGTGCTGAAGTCTAAGAATGATGGAATTTTATTGAGATCATGCATATTATTACTGACTGTTACTGTAGGTGTAAGTAGCAATTACCGGAACTTCGAGAACTAATCTTGTTTTGAGGAGGATAATAATTTGAAAAGAATTTAATACTTATTTTTTAAATTGATATCTCTTCTGATTGACTCTTTGCTAATATCGTTATCCACCTTCCTTCAAGTAGTTACTTGACGTGAAGCGGCTAACGTAGGGATCATCTTGTTTAGTTTTTGCGTGTTGAATATGTCTGGGAAATGTCAAAATACTTTTACGTGAAATTGGTTTTTGGAGGGCTCCGACTTGTCTCAATTTGTAACAGCCACTTTAGATTGCTTGTTTATTTTTTTTTGGTACGCAGCTTTCGATGCTACTCCGTTCACACTTTTATTTTAGTCCTTCTTAAGTTTTGGACATTTGAGGTTAACGTTTCCTTTCTTCGTTTGTGTCATTCCGTGGAGGTCGTCGGTAATTTATTTTAATAAATATGCCCCGTTCCTGCAATTTTAGCTTCAAAGATTTGCAAATATACACATATGTACGTTCCCTACCTGTATTTTCACAATTTTTTCACATTTTGGTGCCTCAGCCGTTATATTTTTTATAAATAAAACTTGTTATCCTGTCGCGTAATTTGGCTAGGAAACTCAAAAATCTTTGATTTCGCTTCGCCACAGAGGTTTTCACTTACCGTAATTATTGCGTGCCTTTTCTTTTTACTTCTGCTGCTCTAATTTCTCTGCGTTATTCGTTCGCCTGTTTTGACAGGTTTGACTCAAAGTTGCTTCTGGATGCGCGTAAACATTTGTTATAAAAATGAGCAACAGAGAATTTTAAAGTGATTTTGACTGACCATTGAACTTTTACTTCTTTGAATGCACTGTAAAGCGGCAGAAAAGAAAGTGAAAGTCGATATGAAGTTTAATTGGAACTGCGCTAAGAAATTAAATTTTAGCACATTTGCTTTAATACTTTGCTGTCGTAAGTGCAACATTTCGGAGCCGTATGAGTAACAAGTGGATAAGTGAATAATAGACTCAAATTGGTTGGGGAAAATTGTTCAGATTTTTCTGTAAATTTAATGTGGATAAAACGAGACTAATACTTCTGACTGCAAAATGTGAATAAAATCTATAGTCAGAGGGCTTTTTTTGGAAACCAGTATAAAATTCGGCAGCGATCAAATTTGTTTTAGGTGCAGCATACCTTGGTTAACTCGTTAAAAAGCCTGAAAGAATTGAATACGGAAGTCGAAGACAGGTTTTTCCTAATTTCTGAAATTCTACTGGATTCTGTTTCGCTTTCAAAAAGAAGAGCTGAAAACGATATCCTAAAACTTAATTTGGCAGTAAGTCCTCACTTTTTTCGGAAACTTATTAGATTACTTAAACTTTGGAACTTGAAAAGAATTTGCTAGGTTCCTCACACTTTTTAACTTTGTTTTAATGGAAATTCCAAATTTTGATGCAATCTTCTGGTCTTTTATACATTTCTTTATTACAACTCCATTAGAGCATTTTTGTTTGAGGGCCCAAGCAAAAATAATCACTTGTAGTTGGGGTGATATGGTTGTGACTTACTGCAAAAACGGTAGAGTTCTACAGCGTCATGATAAGCTTCAGTGGGTACAGTTATAGATAATAGCTATGGAATTTATACCAGTATTAATTCATGTGCGATAGTTTTTTGAATATTTATTAAGAATGCAGTCGAAGAAGCGACAGTGGCTGACAACGTAGAAGAAAATGAAATTCGGGAAAGTATGCTTAAGATAAACGAATCAATAAACTCTATGGAAAAAGTTCGATTTCTATATTCTTTAAGTAATTTTAAGCAAAGTAATCATTATTACGTTAAGGCCCTTAAATTTTGATTTTGATCTGATAAGAACTGAGTTCGCAGAACATTTCCTGTGTTTAATTCCGAATCGTTTGTGTAGTCAGTAAATAACTATAAGGTGGGTTTTGGAATTGGATGGGTCTGTCGCCTGTACCGCGTTATGAGTGAACCGTGTTTCCACTTCCTTGAGGAGGATAACTTTCCTTTAGCTTAACACTTTGCAATTGGTGCAGCTGCACAATAATTCTCCTCTAAATTTGTTGTTTCTAGTTGACGGAAGCGTTCAGAGAAGGTTTGTCGGAAATAAGCAGTAGAATGAGTACTGCTGTTCAAGGAGTTACGGAGTCAACTTTTTTGGAAGAAGTAGACTGTCTGAAACAGGATGCTGATTTTTTAAACACACTTTGTGAAAAACTTTCGCTTATTTTGGTTGATTAAATGGAGGCTGAAGAGGGATTAGATGATTTCATTGTAATCTCTTGTAGTTTATTTTACCTTTTACTTTTAGAAAGCTTCGGGCACATTCAGTTACCGTCTTCATGTAGTTTTTGCTAATTAACCACCCTATGGACTACTGTGTTTTAAATTTCGTGATTGTTTGTTCTTGCTTCCTTTCAATTACATATTGGAGCAGTTCTTACGTTGTTTGTGACGGACGAATTGTGTGATTTAGTTAATTTAATGGGGTGAGAAGTGTGCAAGGTTCAGTTGGGATTGAGAAATATTGGACTTAAAAAATTATATGGTAGGTCTTCTAACTCCGTGATATAAAGAGTTTTGTTTGCAAAAGGAAACAGAACTTCATTTGATCATCTTGTTCCCTAATTTTCGTTGAAGCTCTTCTACATCAGACTTTACTTCATAGTCTGGAAAACTGTTGGAAGAAGTGATGAGTGGAGCATTGAAAAAGAAAACTATTGTTACTCCATAAAAGCTACAGCATGCGAAATGAAAATTAGGCTTTAAGAATATGGGAATTTAGAGGTACTTAACTGTGAAATCTCTTGCAGTTGTCTTTATCTAATTATTGCTTCCGGGTGGGTTTTTGCACCAAAGAACATGACTTTTCTTGTAAATAATTCTGAGAAACCTCGACAGAGTTATAATTATCAGACAACATTTATCAAATTTCCCGTTTGGTTTTTAGGCGGTGCATTTATATTACGAATGTGAGGCTTCAAAGATGCAGCACTTGGAAGAGCGATTAATTTGCTTTGCATCCATCATGTTTAGAATATTAGCGAACAGGAGTAGGGTGACAACGACAACCAATAAAAAAAGCTACTTTTTGGCTTTGTGTAATTTCTAATACCAAACTTCCTGCCCCCTTTCCAGAAAAATGAGACTTCCATTTTACTCGGAAGTTAGCAGCCTCAGCTTGAAAAACGTCATTCCCCATCACGGGTTGCTTTAAGCGCTTTTTCGACCATTCTTAAGTGGTTTCCCGGTACTTTGGAATGGTTGAAGATCCCTTTTATCTTTAACAACAGTAAGGAAAATCATTAGGTAAGACGTAAGGATGTAATCAGATGTGAAAGTACTTACATTTATTAAAATTGGTTTCTCAGTAACAGGCAGTGTCCTGTTCTGCATATTCTAATTTGGGCACAGGCTGCTGTATTTTAAACATCGAAAATTTTATCCTGATCAAGTATAGCTCAGAGTTTCTAATTTTTTAAAGCACTGACTGATTGCAATAAATACTCATCTTTCGCTGGAAGAAACTGATAGGCAAATTAACCAGCATCACATATCTAGTACTGATAATGGATTCGGATATGCTTTCAAAACAACTAGCTTAGCTGAACAACGGGCGACACGCAAGCCATTGATTTTTTCCCACTGGTGACGGTCGAAACGGAAAACGGTGTCTTTGTAAAGGCCATCACGATCCCATCCTCCGACTGCATAGAAGTACTTCCCGAGTTTACAAACATCAAAATTTGCCCTGTAATTGTGGTTGTACTGGCTGAAGCGAAACAAATAAGAAATAAAAAGCTGGAATATGGAGTCCTTTGTCGAATATGGAAACAAAGTGTGTAATGCATAACTCAGGATAGCTTGTTTGTATCACTTATTCAAATTATCTAAAAAATTCTTACCTGGGAGCCGGGAGTGACGGGAGTTCGGTGGTGTGTGCACTCCCTAGACGAAGTAATTCTCCGCTGCTTGCACAGATTGCACCGTCATAGCCGCCAAATATCAGAATGCAGTCTTCGTCTACGGCACAGGCAAGCCCTTAAAAGTAATCACTGGAGTGATGACAAGAAAAAAAAAGAAAAGGAAAACGCCCAAATGGGAACTGGTGCGACTGCAAATAAATGATGGGGTTAAAAATGCTATGAATAAACTCTTAGGTTACCAGAGCGAGGAGATTGTAAGTGGGCAAATTCAATCCATAGGTTGACTTCAGGGTCGTAAACATCAACAGTTTGCAGGACGCGAAAGCCATCGAAACCTCCAACGACATACACTTTCCCTCGCATTACGCATGCTGCGGCGTCTGAACGACTGCGTGTCATATCGCTGGAAAAGCTGTATTTGGTGAAAAAGATGCTTTTTATGATTTAGAGCAGCTGCAGAGGCATTCTTTTAACAACTCCTAACTTTTATGCGATGCAGAGTTTCTACCTAAGTGAGTGATAAATTGAAAAGGCGGTTTTGTTGGGTACTGTTTGCTAAATTTGGACGGACACTTCTGTAGACTTTTAATAACAGGTGGTTGGTTTAATTAGAAGCACTGTGTGTTCAAAGTGAAGAAGAAAGATTAGTTCCGTTTATCTGGTTTTTACTGCAGTTTAAGCACCTTGCTCTTACATCTCTTCTTAATTTTTTCTCCAACTCAGAATAGATTTGACACCAAATTGAAGGAAACTGGATTTTAAAGCGTTAAAGTCCTTTGTGATTTAGTTGTTTTAATCTTCGTAATCAGCATTATGTTACAGCGATTCATAAGAGTAACCGAGAGGGTAAGTATGGCAGTTCAAAACACTCCTTTCTGAATATAAAGAAGTTGAATTGCTCATACTTAAACTGTTCCTTCTCGACAAAGAAATATAAGTTTTGCCAACGCACGCTATTCATATTCACATGGTGCTGAGTCAAGTGGTCCTTTCGAAGCGGTATTATGTAGTTCAACGACAATGTGTCAAGCAGTGCTTATTTTCCAGAAGAATAAAATGGTCGGTACACTCTTCTACAAGTTGTCTTCAAACAGTTTAACCCAGCTTACTGTCCTGGTTAAACAGTTTCAGCGACTTTTTAATTTCAGTCACTCTAGAAATCTCTTTCAAAACTTTAACGAAAGTGACGAGACACTTTCTGAAACTCCTTACCTAATTCGAACCCACTGATTCTTTTCAACATCATACATTTCAGCAGTTTTGAGGCGTGGAAGGTTCAGATTATCGGCACCTCCTGCTGCAAAAACTTTCCCTTGAAACTCGCACGCGGCAACGTAACATCTGCAAAGCAATAAGTCCCCTTGAAGTACATATGATCTTTTCTAGCACTTTATATCTCACAAATGCTGCCAGAAGTATCAGAATAACGGGCTTTTTATGGTATAAGTGCGAAGCTCCGTACTGTTTGGTGGAGTGAGAAGAGAAAGGAAAATAATTTATCTTTATAACACTTGAAAATTTGAAAATAGTCTAAAATACGGGTTTTTTCTGCACTATCAGTAGAATAAAGAAACGACAGAAAACTTTACGGTAAACGATCTGTAAACATACGGAAGGGAGGTTATCTTACAGTTCACTCTGAAGTATGGAAAATTTTTCTTGCAAATAACTTCTCAACGTCGTAAACGAATGGCCCATCATTTAAAAAAAAAAGTAGTTTAACTTATTCAGGTTATGAAAAGTCAATTTTATAAGCGCCGCCTACAAAAATTACTCTGTTCAACCTTACAGGTGCAATTACCTTACAGCATAAGGGGAATTTCGGTGGTAACTTGTTCATTGCCTGGCTCTCTATAGGTTTGGCCAGAATTATTTTGGAAAATTAAAGAAGTGACAGTGTTAAACCTGTTGTACTGCATTGGTGCACACTCCTTCCAAACTCCTGTTTTGATATTTAAGCAGAACATTTTATTGAAGTATGCGGTTCCTTCATAGCCTCCCAGAACATAAATTGACTAAAAATATTGTGACGACTTATAATCAAATATCTAGTCCTTTGAAAATTATTGTAGAGACAAAGGAGATACTAGCCGATTGTGACTGAAACCCGCTGAAATATCAAGAAAGTAGAAGAAATACAAGAAGAAGTGGAGGTGTTTATTTTAGGGAATTACAACGGAATGAGTCAAAAAAAACTTACATCTGGTTTTTTTCTTGTAAAGTTTTATAAAATAAAAGAGGTGAGTTTTAATCTGTAATATATAAAAATGAGAATAGTAACCTCTCCAACTACAACACATCCGTGATAAGCAATTTTTCGCTTTCCTTCCATATAACGTATTCTCCTCCAACACTCTTGATTGACATCCATTAATTCCACAATATCAGTTGGACCATCGTTCTTCCAACCTCCTATGGCGACGAGGAAGTCGCGTGGTACCCTTAGTACTTTAGAGCGAGATGTATGCTGCTTAGCGCAGATTTTTTCGGCTTTCAACTCCTTTTCCAAGGTTCTCCTCTTAACCGGATAACTATGAAATTAAGGTATACAAAACTTACAGCGACCATACAACGAAAAGCACAACTTCAAAAACACAGTGCTCTAAAAAACGCAGTTTTTTGTGAGGAAGCTGCTTTATAGCTAATAGCACGGGTCACTGAACCGCTACTGGATAGCCAAAAAAGTGGTGTTAGTAAACGTTCAGAACGGTCCCAGTCTTAGTTGGTTAAAAGTACATGGATATACGGCTAGTACATTTTCCAAACTTTAAGATCCGCTGCTCATGAGAAATTTGTTTTTGCAGCTCTCATAGCTGTTATGACTGCTAATAAGATCTGCGGTGAGCTGTTAATTGAAATCCGTGTACTAAATTTTCCTCCGCAGAAGTTTAAGAAATCAGTTTATAGTTAGTCTCCAAGGTGTTATTTTGATATAACAATTTGCAACTGAATCTATTTGCAATAGAGGGTTTTTTAAGGCTAGATAATTACAAAATAATATCTGGAGAAAAACAGCTGATTTTATGCAGATAATTAGTAAGATACTATTCAGGTGGAAATGGAAAGGCGAAAAAGACTTGGGATTGGAAACTCTAGAAACTGAAGACTGAGCGGCGGTACGAGTGCGAAGTTGTTTATTTTTAAAAAAAATCTAAGGTTGGAATTCCGAAGTTAGTTACTTGTGTCGCAAGAATTACAATTATTCACCACTGTTCCCTCAATTATCTGTTTATAGTGCAGAAAAAAAAAAACACTGTACCAAAACTCCAAATTTTCGCCGTCCTCTAAATCCCACTGATATTGACTAATATTCAATTACTTGTCTTCTTCACCTCCCCAGCTTAATTCAGTCAACGATCAAACTTTGAAAGAAATACCACAAAATCTTGAAAGAGTTTTCATTTAGTCATCTTTGACATTCTCATATCTAGCCCTCAGATGGCCAGCCAAATAACCATCTACAAAACGGGTCTGCCTGAAATTTCATATTTCAAAATGCCTTTACAGCTCTATAGCCTTTTCAATGACAGTTCACCTTAAACTTATTCTGTCAGGGAAGAATAAGCTTCAAATTCATTATTTTCTAGTAATTTCAAAGAAAAGCCAGTATCAATTAGAGTGAGAGTTCTAACTCCAGATCTGGAAAGCTTTGAACACTTAAAAATTTAAAAATTACGGCAAGGCAAAGTTATAAGAAGAAGAGAAGATTCTGGACTGTACTGCGTGAAAACACTATCTCGCTGGTAACGGTGGTCGAAAAATGAAAAATGTAAAAATTGGAATATTCAGCAAATTTTGGAGAAAGCCAAGAAAAGTCAATGACAACAATGCTTTGCTGACAGCTTGACATTTTTGGAAATTACTGTTATAACCAGAGCTATGAGTAACAAATTGTAATTCTTCTTAGTCACGTATACTTTCCTGAATAAGGATCAGTCGTTATGTAAAAAAAATCGATCACCTCAGAAACGGTAAGGAGACTTTGACGTATGCAAGAAAGCAATTCTGGTGCTGAGCTAAGACGGCTTTTCTTCTCATGTAGAAGCCAAGCTTTTGCCATTTTCCAAACATCCAGCTAAACAAAAATCCCGGTAGACAATTCTTCACTGATTACACAAAAGTAAACAATATGTCTTAACTAAAGCAAAGGCTACTATGTCAGAAAAACTATATCAACTGCATACTTGAAAACCATGGAAAGATATTCTATAACAAACCTGAAAATATTAGCTTCCCCACCACCCTTTAAACAAGTATGCAAAGCCAACAGCTCACAGTAGAGCAGATTATTTTTCTGCAAAAAGAAGAAAGCTCTGCTGATTACGGCTCCGTTGAAAAACGCGAAGCGTTTATTCAAGCAAAGGACTGACCTCACTTTCAACATTCAGGAGATCTGCTGATAAGATTTCCTTTACATCATTTAGTGGCAGCTCTCGAAAACCAACGTCTTTTCCTTCAAGTACCGCTGCTGGTAATGTATAAGTTAAGTATTCAAAGGTCTAGAATAATAAAGAATAAACGACTTTTAAACAACAGGCAAAGGTACAAATAAGATAAATTAGATTACCTGTTTTTCAAGATTTGGTGAAAAAGCTAAACAGGTTTTATACACATTAATGCTGTCTTCAACACGTGTATTACTGGTCATTTTGTCGATAACTTTTCGCTTCACTTTTTCCAAGTCCCATTCACAAGCCTCAACTGAACTGCTTTTAAAGGATGTATTAAAGAGGTTGTCAAAGAGTATAAATATGACCGAAAACAGAAAAGAAAAGAATAGCAGTGGAAGTAAAATTTAGCGTTTAAATTTACCTGTTGCAATATTTTCGACAATTTTTCATAGGTATTGCTCTCAAGTTTGTCATTTATCAGGCAGTTAAACAGATCTTTGATCTGAAAGAATAGTCTTCAAAACAACTGTTTAGTCGTTTAAAACGTCTGAGCAGTTTATAACAGAAACAAGCATGTAAGAATTAGATAAAAATACATATTAGAAATTTGAACCAATTCATAATCCAGTGTGGAAGACATTATAAATTTTTCCTGTGATCCGCCAAGTTCATCACAGCGACATATTAGCTTTGCAAACGTTGGATAAAAATCCAATATTTGTTTACTGATTTTGAATCTGTAGTTGAAAAAAAAATTGCAAACTAAATTATCAATAAACATATAGGAAATAAAAAGAAAAGTGCATTTATCGCTATACTGTACTGTATTTAAAAAAAGCGATACATTAGAGTAAAATATTATAAGAGTCAAGAACAAAAACTTTAAAACCGTTTTCTTTTTTGTTAAATTTTTATTCTCTTAAAACAGAAAAATATTTTCTAATCATGCAAAAATTAGACATAAATAATCGGGTTATTAGAATGCAAAAAACAACGCTACCGTTTTCCATCAACAGTGATTACAGAACAGTCACGAACATCAAAATATGAGGTACTGGCAGGTCCGTTATAGAAAAGTTGTTTACCAAGATCACTAAGTTGGTCAATACCATCCGGATTGTTCATATACCTGCTTGCAAAAAAAAATACATTTACATACTTTCTTGACATTATACAAGCGTTGAACGAAGATAGCCAAACTTAAAGAATATCATGAGAAAAAAAAGCTTTTCTGCTATACAATAAACATGGAACATCACTATTTTACTTCTATTTTACAATATGTAATTTAACATCTGGCCGTTCGCTTTATTTTTCAAAAAAAAGAAAAAAGGACTAATCGATTATTAGCTAAATTTTCAGTCTTTTTTTTCTACTTATACTGCAATGACTGAAAAAACTTTATATATAAAGAATATATAAAGAATATAATATATAAAGAACAAAAAATGATGTAAAGAACTTAAAACAGCAAAACTGCTTAAACAAAACTTAATTTCCAATTGTTTTCAAAACAAAAAAAGCTTGATATTTTTGCTCACATGTCCAAAAAGTCTTCCACAATTACTGAACTTAGCAGCCGTTGAACAGCATTCAACTATAATGCATAAATATAATTATTTAAAATAAAATAAACTCTAAAAAAAACTTTATATTCACCTACCAAATTTTATGTGCAGAACATTTTGCTTTGGTTCTGCTTATAGATAAAGCTTTTAATTAGTTAGCGATTACGCTAACAGTATAAAAGCAAGATAACTAATTAAACATAAGTTTGAAAAAGTAGTAGAGAAATGAGAGTTATTAATAGAAAAATACTAAGTTGGTACTTTACTGTCAAAGAACTGTGTAACTTGCTAGAATAAATGTCATTACATTTGTTTTACCTATCGTTTATATCCTATGATTAAACATTTCTTTAGCTGCTAAAGTTCATCGTTACTGTTCAG